ATATATATAAATTTTATTAATTACAAAAAAAGAAGTGCACCTTCTGCTAGAAATGAAGTTTCAGTGCCCGTAGTTCCGATTTTCAAGACATTCTTCTTCAAGTCTATGCAACATTGATGTCTTTTAAGCATATCCAAGCCCAGCAGCATGTCCATAGGCTGTTCCTCAAGAACGCTGAAGGATGTTGTCAGATGATCATTGCCAATCTGTATTTGTACCATATGTATACGACCGATTATGCGTTGTACTCCAACACCCTTGGCGACTCCAGCCCACCTTGTGTCTACCAAACGCATAATATGGCATCTCTCGGCACAGGCAGCAGACATAATAGTAGTTTGTGCACCTGGGTTACAAATAATATATCTTTTAATTTATTTATCCTCGTTTCCATTAATGCAGATTTACTTTAATCCTGGTTCAACCTACCCTTCATCTTTTTTTTTAGTTCTAAAAATTAGAAAAAGTTGAAGAGTGAGTAGAACCGAGATTAAAATTAATATGCATTGATAAAAATAAGCATTAGGATCAATTTTGCACTTTTTGTCCAATGCTTTTACTGTACAAATGTTTCTAGAGACGATCGAAATATATTGTAATATATTTATATTAAGAACAGGTTTTTTTCCTGTTTTCACGAACAGAGGTCATACGTTCTAAAATTAAATTGTTTTTCTGCATACCATGCAGAACGATCATTCGAGATATATATGTTTAAAAATAGACATTTACTCAGTCTTCCTTTCTTTCCCTCGAGTATAGAACAAAGATATATAAAAATAATCTCAAGTACGATTCAAATTAAACTAAAGAAAAGCTTGAAGAAAATTTTAAGTTATCAAGCTAGAGATTAAGATTAGATTAAAACTTAACTAATCAGAAGAGAAAAAAATCAATCTCAAGTTTAGTAAACTTTGCTTTGATTAGTAAATTTCAATCCAATCTCAATCTCAACCTCTAGTCTGATCACGAATTTATGTATTTGTAAAATGCACGTAGAAAATCGCATTTTTACTTGTTACTGAAATAGCACTCGGATCGGCGATGTACCTGAGTCAATAAAGGCTTTAACTGGAAATCCGTTGACTTTACAATTTATATACAACATAACAACGGTGCCAAAGGTCTCTGGATTGTATTCCATTGCAGCCTCCATATTTGCTTCGATATTTTTCTGTCTAATTTCTTCGGCAATTAGCCGCTGTGCTTCAGTGTCAAAGGGATCAGCATTCATCATTCTTAGCCGTTGTGCTTGTCGTTCTTCTCTAGCGGCTATCTGCTCTCTGAGTACAGTTGAAAATTTATCTATAACACACGAATATTTAGACCAGAAATAATATTAAAAATTATTAAGCTGTTACATTCGAAACTGTTACTTACCAAGATTTCCCGACAGTAGCGCATCGGCTAATCTGGGATTATTTTGTTTTAACAATGCTAGCTGATCTGGATTAGCCAGGAACATGTTTTTTATCATAGCTGGGTCATCCTCGCTGCGGGGATTTTGTACTCTGTTGTTTGCGATCGGCGATGGACGCTGATTATTGCTGGTCCCAGGAACTCTGATGGAACTGAAGTCCAGTAATGGAATGGCTAGAGCGATGTTTCTTCAAATTTAGTATGTTCATTTTTTTTTAATAAGATATATGTTGCTGAGTATAACACAAAGAAGATGATAAATTAAATTTGTCAATGATGTTTTGGAGTATTAAATTTGACATACTATATATACATAT